TATCTACACATAAGGGATATTACTAAGGAAGATTGAGAACAGAGCTTGTCTTCCGTCGTAACCGCATCCTACTTGCAAACCTATATTCGGGGAGTGGACTACAAAGGACTCAATGGGAGTGTCACATTCGCGATCTACCACATGACCCCGAATATAGGGTGTATCCACAGGTTAATAGCGTATAAGCACCACACTTACACAATGTCGACCACTCACCCCATGTACTTTAGAGTGAGCGCTATACGAACTTATGCATGGATATAATGATAATCTAGCTATACTAAGTATATAATCAATGTAGACAATGAACATTATAACGAAGAACATAAATGAGATGAATACTAATGTTGTCATAACAATTGTAGCAAGCATATAAAAGTAATGGAGATAGAAAGAGAGGGGGTACAAAGATTATACCAAACCACGCTCTTGACACGATCAGGAATCCAAGCGAAACATGCTTGCCTCCCTCTAGACCTAGCCTAACTAGCTATGCCCTAGAATATGGTAAAGCTCTGAGGATGATTAGGGTTTCTGTCTTCTCAAATGACTTGTGCCTCCGGGGGTGGCAGGGGCTGGTATATATAGGCTAGAGCGTCCATCGTGAGCCCTTGGATCAAACCAACTTAAAGGACGACGTAGATGCAGCCTAAGAGGCGGTGGAGAACCGACATTACGACGCGGAGGCTAATAGTGGGCCCAAGGGGCTAGGCGGCCTGTAGGTGGGGCCGGCCAGCCCCACCTAGCAGCCAGTCGCCCTTCGCCGCGGTGTGGTGTCTTCTAAAGTCTTCTGGCGTCCGTTTCATTGAGGATAAGCACGATTAATTCTGACATCTAGGTTCATCTTGACGGTTTTCTGGATAAACCCTATAGAAATCATAGATTCACCAAAACTCATAGAATTTGTTAGTTTAAATCCCTAGACCTTTGTTGGTGATTGCTTTCATACCCTTATTCATGTTTTATTGATGGTTTATAATGGTTGTTAACTACCATCAACACCGTCGTTGTTGCTCGGGCAGATGCTTTCCGCCGATGTCATCGCTTCGGGATCCCCCCTCATGCAAATGTTCCTGAGTGCGTGATGCCCTCCACCACTCTTGTGGATGCTTTGCCACGTTGACTCTAGCGGTTGCTTGGTCGCCGTTCTGCTGTATGTTCATGCTTGGGCAGATACTTTGCCGTCGTAGTGTCGAGTTCCAGTGGATATTTGGTTGCCGTGGTCTCTTCTATAGTGGATGCTTTGTCGCTGCTGTCGTACTAGCTTCCTTGGCGGATGCTTTGCCATCGAGGCCGCTTGGTCTTTTCCTAGGCAGATGCTTTTGCCACCATTGCTGCTAGAAGCTCGCCTCGTCGTTGTTGTATTCATGTAATAGGCTGTCGGTTGGAGTTTGAGGTGGAGGGTTCCCCCTCGTGTTTTCTTACTATTTCGTTTGTGTCTGTGGGAATATGCCAGTAATCATTGGATTACCTGTGTTTTCTATGTAACTTTAAAATTTTACTTTTGCTTAATGAAAAACGTGACTTAGGGTGCTATTGCGGGGTTGAAACCGCGGCAAGCATGTTGTTCGAGTCGATGTCAGAGTACGGGGTCTTCGGTGGCTAGGGTGGACTCAGGAACACAAGAATCAGGCAGAGAAAACACAATGGTTTATCCTAGTTAGGGCCAATTCGGTCCCTACGTCCAGCAGCTGATAATCCTTATACTCAAGGGCACCCAAATTTCTAGGGGTTACAACAGAGTGTAAAGGAAGAAGATTTTGTAGGAGAGTTAGCTCGATGCTAATCTTAAGGTTGCCTTGCCACCGGTGGAGTCTCCCCCTCATCGGAGAGGAAGGAGACGATGAGATGCGGTGGAGGAGGAGCTCTCGGTGCCCCTCTCCGGGTTGCCTTGCTCTCGGAGCTGAGCGGAGGCAGATGGGATGGAATGGATTGTCTAGTGATCGAATTGGGATCCTCCCCACTCTAGGTCCGACCTTATCCCTTATATAATGAGATAGGTTGGGTACAAGATGGTTTGGGGGTTCTAGTCTATGGTCTACGTGCGTCGGAGTCCAGAAGGGGCTTGCAGCGGTGCAACATGGACCATCGAGGTGTCTTGGAGCCAAAGAAGCTTGGGTGTCGTCCGGCTGCTCTGTTATGACACTCTACATGTTAGAGGGTGTCATCTTGGACCGGCCTTCCCTAGGTGAGACCTTCCGGAGTCTTCTTGGTGGCGAAGGAGGTTGGCTCCAGGGGTTGACGCCCGAGCCCGGAAGCCCCTGAGGCCGCAGGAAGCTTTTGTCTTCTTGTGTCACGCCCCAGACGTGACCCTGTTGGAGTAGTAGTTGTAGGGGCATGCCTAGGGAGCGACGCCAGGGGGCACCCCTAGGGAGCGACGGGCATCGATAGCCTGGGGCTTCTCTTCTTGTGCTTGGGCCTTGGCTGGCATCGTTAGCCGGGCAGGAGCCAAGGACCGGGCTTGGTCGCGCCGTAGATCGAAAGCCCAAGGCTCGGGAAGCCCCCGAGCCCCAGGGGGAAGCTGCGGTCGAGTTAGGCTCAGCTAGGTCTCTTTGCCAGAGGGTGCGCAAGAGCGTGCCCGATGGCATAGCCCCGAGCCCTTGGACGGTCCTGAAGGGGTCGGTCGGACGTCTTCTTCATTCAAAAACCATTGGACCCAAGACTTAACATACATGTATGTTATGATCTCATCAGGTACGATTGGGAAAAAAGTATACTAAAGAAGAAGATGGAAGCAAAGATGACTTTAGATATGAAGATGTTGGAGAAGACTTTGGGGGTGTTTGGATGGCTGCCATACTTTGCCAGCCTAACTTGCGGCGCGCCGTATATGGATGACTGCTGTTTGTTTTAGGACCACAACCTTTCACAGTGAAAAAAGACCCCACAGCTTAGGCGGCGATTTTTCTATCGCCACAAGTGAGTCGCCGCCACACTGCGCGTGGCAGTGCATGGTGGGCATCCAAACACAAAACGAAATCGTCTCTATTTGTGCGCAAGTCTGCCTTCCTGGTGTTAGGCCAGTCTCAATAGCTAGTTTCACTACACTGTTTCCAACATGGCCACATCATCTAGAGTGGGATGAAACGATGAATGAAACAACCTTCACAGTGCAGCGTTTCATTTTACCAATTCCAAAGCTAAGTAAAGCATTTAATTGCTGCATGATGCTGGGATCATATGCACCATATGCATCGTGTAGCCACTTCCACACATTCAGTAGCTGCTTTCTCATCAAAGGAAAAATTGGGGGCATGGCCCTCCATCCAGCTCCTTGCGGTGGCCGTGCTGGCACATACGAACTCGACACAGCAGGGGTGGAACTCGGCACAACAGGGGAGGAAGTTGGCACAACCGGGGGCGGAACCTGTGGCGGCGCTGGGAGGGAAGTCGGCGGCGGCGGCGGTGAGTTAGAGGTTGACGGCGCAGCCGTGGCTGCCGTCTTCATTCCCAGCCGAGCACACCCGTGTCCTTTCCCTCGTGTGCCAGATGGGTGTCGTCGGGTGCTCCCAACCGGATCCATCGATGCAGGATCTCGACCGCTCTCAACCGGTGCCGCCCAGAGCTCCATGAGAAAGGCTGATATACGGGAAGGGAAAGGAGGGGTGGTGGGGAAGGCATGAACGATGGGGCAGGAAGGATTGGGGACGGGGCGGGAAGGAGGGCGGGAAGGATTGGAGTCTCGCGCCTAGAGCACGGGATCAGTCGGATGAAATTTTCCGCCTCAACGCTGGTTTCACGCGATTTCCAACGACTTGGAAACGGAGCTCACTCGTGTCGTGGGGATGAAACGTTTTCCCTCTCTCTCCTCCTCGTTTCATGCAAAAACTCTAAATCTACTAACGTGTCATCTTATTTAATGTGCATGAAACCCCCATAAAATATCCGTTGAGACTGGCCTTAGCGGGTCAACCACTGGCAGTACTCAAACGGTGGTCAGTACCGTCACCCTATGGTCTCCGAACTCCCACTGGCAGTACTCAAACGGTGGTCCCGTCTCCCGTCTTTCTCCACGAGAGGCCACCACGATCACACTTACACGACGTCACTGAGCGGTGGGACCTCCCGTCCCAGCATCCTGCAGGGCCCACCGATCATGGCCCCTCGGGTCCTGCGTGGGTGCCAACTCGCCCACCGCGACGTCTCTAAAGTCTGACCACGCTCGCCCCGGACCCACCGGCACTGGCAGTACCGGCGAAGAAGCGCTTTCTTAACAGGGGCCCACATGTCCGTGACGCGGAGCGGGTGTCCATCGAGTCAACCGAACCCAAGCCCAGCGGTGCGAGGCGCGGTGACTGGCGAGACGAGTGCCGCAGTTCCTAACTCCGGTGGGCGCGCTCCCACCGCCGGACGGCTCAAAACCCGCCCTCCGCCTCCCGCGCTGCAGTCGACACGGCGGGTGGTGTCGCCTGAGGCAGCGCGATCGCGGAGCCGGACTATCCTCGGGCCCTTCGGTGAGCGATCCAGATCTCCACATCCCCTCCCCCTCTCTATTCCCGCCAATGGTTCAGTTATCTCGAGTGTTCCTTATTTTTCTTGTTCGCCTTTTCTCGATCGATACGATTCGTTGTGGATTGGGCGCCCCCTGGTTGCGATAGTCTCGTCGTATTCGACGCGTTCCGTGCCCCGTAGGTTGAATCGCTCGTGTGTCTTGGGGCTAAAAGGGTGTTGCATTTTTCGATGTGTGGCTGGCTTCTCACGCCCACAATCCCGCCAAATCAAGGGCTCCTTGCGATTTGGGACGTAAGAATCGGAGAACGATGAGTGTCCACGACACGTTGTGTCCTTTGCGCACTGCAAATGTCGACAATGCTGCAGACCTGTGCTGTGAGGATGGTTCTAGTTTTGTGGCTCGCAATTTGGGCGTTCTTGCTTTGGTTGCTTACTGATCGAAGAAAATATTTGTGTGACGTGTGATTGTTTCACAGGACGTAACGTGCTGGTTGGGTATCGCCGGATAAGCGGGGACACCACTGTGACAGGACCATCGGGTTAGGGCAATGTTCTCCTTGTTCTATGGTCTATGGAAGTATGTGTTCACCAAGGACGAGTTCCGTGTCCTTATTCTTGGTGTTGACAAGGCTGGCAAGACGGTAGTTGCTCTCGGCCTTTATTTTCCTTTTTGACAAGAAATTCATACTTATTTACGCAATAATCATCCATGTTGTCGATTTACTCAAACTTATAAACTCTTGAGTCTCGACAGATTCCTGAGTTTCCTTACCTGTCCATGCTTCAGATCCTATTCTGCTTATCATGATGTTCTATGTACCTGCATTGCATTGTGAACACTTTACCTTTGATTGAAAATGTGATCTCTACCTATATTGGCATGTTTCTGGAACTGTTGTCACAGACTTTGCTGGAGAAGTTGAAATCAATGTATCTGAAGGGGGAAGGACTTCCACCTGATCGTGTCGTTCCAACGGTTGGACTAAACATTGGACGCATTGAAGATGCAAAGGCAAAACTTGTTTTCTGGGACCTCGGTGGTCAGGTAAGATTACTAGCGCACTATATGGACTCTGTTGTCATAGAAAGCCCTCTGCTGCCGTGGTCCCCCCCCCTACAATGGTTGATATTTGAATGTTATCTAGCTAATCGAATTGGCATCATGTTCGGTGTTATCTCAGGGTTTTTAATATCTGGGAAATGCATGTTATAAAATCAAATAACTAGGATGTGGTTACTAACCTAGCATGTTTGGGGTTCCGGGAGAAATAGAAAAATTAGTTATATTGAATGCTCAATGGAAGTTTCATTGTTAAATTGTCCTATATTGTTACACTGAAAGTGAATCTTTGTCGTGAACTGAAAACAAAGATACGCTCTGTTGGCTAACATTCACAATGTGCTATGTGTGTGCACAGTCACAGGGAACGTGGTACGGTGCCACGTTCTGCGTCCCGGGAACGTACGTTCCCGGAAAATCCTTTCTCAAAGATCGTTCCGAAGCGTATCACGTTCCACGATCCTCGTTCCACGACCCATTCGTTCTGGGAACTTTGTGACTGTGTGTGTGTTGAACTAATTTGCTTGAGGCCTGATGGAGGAAATTATGGCAGAAACATGAAATACCATCCCATATTGGAGTTATATGTTATGTTCATGTATATAAAATGCGATAGTGAAAGGTCGAGAGAGCGGACTAGAGGAGGGTGAATAGTCCTTTCTAAAATTAATCGCACCGGCTAATCGAAACAAATGCGGAATTAAAACAATCGGTCTAGCCAAGACTACACCCCTCTATCGAAGTTCACAATCACCTTATAAAGATCCTAATTAGGCAACAAAGGTGTCGGGCTAGCTAGAGCTCACCTATCCAATTCTAGGAGCAAGATCACACAAACCTATGTCACTAGTATTTTGCACACCAGGGAGCTCCTACACAATTCTAGTAAGCAAAAGCACAAAGCTCCTAAGCTCACAAGCAATACTCAATAACAAGACAACCAATGCCAAATTAAAGAGCTCAAATACTTAGCTACACAAACTAAGCAATGTGACTAACAAGGTTACACAAACTAAATTAGCCACGCAAGGGAGCTACTTCTATGCTACACAAGCAAGAAGATAACTAGTGAGCTACACAAGCTAACTAATCACAAGAACAATTACACAAGCACAATGTATATGAAAGTAATTACAAGCTTATGAAAGGGGATTGCAAACCGATGGGAAGAACAATGTTGACACGGTGATTTTTCTTCCGAGGTTCACGTGCTTGCCAACACGCTACGTCCCCGTTGAGACAAGCTCCAAGGTTGCCGCCAGTCCTCTTGCTAGTGGTGACCCGCAAGTCACACTCTCCCACGTGGAGTGCTTACCACAAGCTCTAGCACTTGACCCGGTTGGACCACTTATCGCCCTTCGTGTCTCGTTCTACTAGAGTTGCTCTTCGTGACTCTCGCGGGGCGAGCACAATGCCCCTCACAAAGCTTTTCTTCGGAGCACCGCACAAGCTTCTTGCGGGCTTCGACGGAAACCACCACCAAGCCATCTAGGAGGTGACAACCTCCAAGAGTAACAAGCATCACCGGCTTGCAACTCGATCACCTAGTGCCACTCGATGCAACCTCACGATGCAATCGCACTAGAATCGCTCCCTCACACAATCGGATAATCACTATCAAGCATATGTGAGATGGAGGGCCCATAAGCACTCTCAAGCATGGACACAAAGTCCCCCAAGGTGCTCTCTCACAGCTATGGCTGAGACCCCCTTCTATTTATAGCCCCCACGAAAATAGAGCCATTGTACCCCTTCACTTGGCACTGCTCGGGGCGACCGGACGCGCCGGTCAGATCGACCGGACGCACCCTGCCAGCATCCTGTCAACGGATGCACGCCACGTGTCGCCTCCGTTCAACCTTAGTCGCTCGATTTCAACGGTCGGCTGTCGCGCGCCAACGGTCAAGTGATGACTGGACGCACCTCTGTGCCAAGACCGGACACACCACTGCCTGAGTCCGGTCGTTTCCAGAGAGCTCCCCGAGCCTCTGTTTTGCGACCGGACGCGTCCGCTCCTGCACGACCGGACGTAGACCCTGAGTCCGGTCCTTCACCGCTTGCCACGTGTCGCTCTGCGTTCAACCGGAGCCACCTGATCTCAACGGTAACTTCGCGCGCCAACAGTTAAGTTGCGACCGGACGCTGCAACCCCTTAGTCTGGTCATTTCCAGAGAGCTCCCCGAGCCTCTGTTTTGCGACCGGACGCGTCCGCTCCTGCACGACCGGACGCAGACCAGCGTCCAATCAGCTCTGCGCCCGCGCGCCAACTTCAGTGCTGCCTAGGTCACCGTACGACACCATGACCGGACATGGCTACTGTGCGTTCGGTTACTTCTTCGCCCAGCGTCCGGTCACTTGACTGAGACCGCGCTCTATCTGCTGCCACTGACCGGACGCGCTGGTCCTACCGAGGCCAGCGTCCGGTCACTCACAGTGATTCCATCTCGCATTCGTTTCTTCACCAAGTTGATCCTCATCAACTCTAACTTCTTCTCCTTTGCAAATGTGCCAACACCACCAAGTGTACACCACCATGTGTATGTGTTAGCTTTTCACAAATATTTTCCAAAGGATTAGCCACTCAACTTGCCACACCACTCGATCCTAGCGACGATGCAACATTAGATCACTCGAGTGGCACTAGATGACCGATATGCAAACAAGTTTGTCCCTCTTGATAGTATGACCATCTATCATAAACCCGGTCATAAACTTCTCTACACACCTATGACCGGTGAAATGAAATGCTCTAGGTTATACCTTTGCCTTGCGCATCACATTCCATCTCCTCCATTGTTGATGCAACACATGCACCAACCAATCACCAAATGATATGATTCATTTCATATCATCACGTGACCGTATTGGTTCATCGATCTTGACTTCACTTGCTTTTCACCGTTGCCTTCGTCCATCGTGCCAAGTCTTGCTCAAGCTTCACCGCCACGCGGTCCATCACTCCAAAGCCTCCGACTTGCCCTTCACGCTTGCAACCGGTCCATCAAGTCAAGTCATGTCTTGATCTTTTCCACCTTGATCACATGACTCCATGTCATGTCTCATGTGCAATAAGTTCCTTCATCATCACATGTGTGATCTTTGCAACATTTTCGAGCCATTTCCACCTCCATGGCATATGTTGCTCACACACATGTACCTGTAGACTAATCACCTGTGTATTTCACATAAACACAATTAGTCCACCTAGGTTGTCACTCAATTATCAAAACCACACAAGGACCTTTCAGATAGTTAGGAATTGGGTGACTAGTAGAAGAGAACCACCTTCTCTTTGTTACAGGAATTAGTGTAAAGCTAACTTCAATATCACTACATGCCAGTACTATAAGCTTCCATTCTACAAGTTCAGTTTTTTGACACACTTACCTGCTTGGCAGATTGGCCTACGAACAATCTGGGAGAAATACTATGAAGAAGCTCATGCCATAATGTATGTTATTGATGCTGCCACTGCATCATCATTTGAAGATTCCAAATCTGCTCTGGGTAAGCTAGTTCTTGTTTCTGTTAATTATGAACTACTGGTTTATTGCTATTGCTAGATCTTTTGAGAAGATATAGCTGAGATGCATTGTCTCTTCTGGTAAACGAGATGTAAACTCATCTAAGAGAACCTAACCTAAATTTCTTACTTCAGAGAAGGTTATCCGCCATGAGCATCTGAGAGGAGCACCAATACTGATAATTGCAAACAAACAGGTGAAGAGTTACTTCCACTTTCCTGTAATATCTTGAAGAATAAATTTTCTTTATGTAAGACATAATTAGGATTCAAAGATTCAGTGCTTAAAACAAAGTTGGCATTGTAGTTAAAATAACATTCTTGTCTTGTGCACATGCTGTGAGGCATACGAATCTAAATTCTTATATTGTAAAGAGCCTATAGGCCATTGCGAGGTTGAATACCAGATGTTTTCCTTAATACAATGACATGCAGGTCTCCTGCGTGTTTGAGAAAAAAAAAATACCAGATGTTTTGGCCCATTAATGTACAGATGTACATGTACCGCATTGACAATTTGACATGCAGTTTAAAACATTTTCATATTCATGAAACAAGAAAAAAAAAGGACAGTCAGACTCTAGTTTTTTTCATTGCCCAACATACAACTTTGACCATTTAGCAATAAAAGCATGTCCTGAAAAATGTGAGAGATCATTGGAGTTTGAATAATATTTTTTTTTGAGATATCTTTTTGGCAATCATGCACACATGTCTGTATCCCTTACTCTAGAATTGCCAAATACACAGTACAGTCGCAACTCCCACAAACACGCATGTACACTCGATTGAGGATTCTCAACGAATGGTTGAGTTTCCAGAATCAAACAACATATAACAATGACGACTTTTTTAAAGCAATTAAAAATGCCTGAGAAAATCACATGGCAACCAATGACTATATGTACGGTCTGTTTTTGTAAAACTGGATCCACATTCTTTTATCAAATTGTTTACTTATTATTTGCGTATTGTTCTCATGTTTCAATGTGTTTCTGGATTTCTTTGTCTAGGATTTACCTGGGGCCATTGATGATGAAGAATTGGCTAAATTTCTGCATAAAGAACTGGATGAGAGGCCATATACATTTCAGGCTGTATGTGCATATGATGGGTGAGCACAGAAACCCAACTGGTTCCTGAGGAAATTTGACTCTGCATGAAATTTTAAAGAAATGGCAGTTTTAGTCAAGCATGCAAAAATTTTACACATCTGTCTCATAATAACTACACTGAGGGTCTTGTTCATGCTCATGCTGAAGCATACGCTGCGTGCGTATTTAGAGCTGACTGTTATTGCTAGTTGCTCCCTCAGTTCAAAAATACAAGGCATATTTTGTTTTGACTCGTTCTTCAAAACCAAACTTTGATAATTGTTTCTAACATAATGTATCATGTTAGCTCCAAAATTAATATCGTGGAAAGCACTTTGAAATATGAATCTAATTGTACAAATGTATAGATTAAGCATACATATTGGTCAAAGTGTGTTTGACTTCTCCAAAACAAATTATGGTTTATATATTTGAATGGAGTACTACACAACTGAGAAGCCTTCAACATGACCCATTGATTACTGGGTGCATATTTAAAGGTCTGTTATATTGTTTTAATGCGACACTGGTCTTGCAGGAGGGGGATCAAATCTGGCATAGACTGGCTGGTGGAACAAATGGAAAAAAGCAAACGTACCGAGACACTGCAGGCTCGTGCTGGTGTACCTGGACAAATTTAGAATGCTATATATGGCTTGCAGCTGCGATCAGATGATTTTGTTAAAGAACAAAGCATTGGATAGGAGGGATTCCTTTGTATCGCATAAGCAGCCATTTGCTGCATTCCGTGATTACAAGGATTATCGTTCCAGACCGCCCACGGTGCTGCAAGAAATGTTTGGGTGGTTACTCCTGTGGTGATGGTGAGGCGATTCGTTTGGTCTTATTGAGTTGACATTTATATGTACTCGAAGATTGCGAGCATACATGTCTATATGATGCTTTTGAATTTTCATATTATACTAGTAGCGTCAATACAGAGGATCAAAGAGAGCCATGTACTTATGCCATGTTCTTTGTAAGTGATAAAAAAAGGAAAAAAGAAGAGCAAAGAAGGAATTGCTACATCCCATTTCTGTGGACTTAATTTCTGAGCATAGCATTGAAGTTCGAATTCGCAGCAAATTCTGTGCATATCATTGAAGTTTGAATTCGCAGCAAATTTCCAACCATATCAGTACATCACTCAGGTTCGGTTGCTGCTGGGGAAGATTTATAGAAGCGTATTTGGAAAATGGATTGCTAAATAAAATGAAGCACTTTCTTTGGAGAGCTGCTCACAATAGTCACCCGCTCAGGTCTAATTTGGAGTTCAGAGGAATGGATATTGATAATCGATACGTGGTCTGTAATGAGAAGGGAGAAGATGGAGGCCACTTATTTTTTAAATGCAGCAGGGTGACCTCAATACGTGTCATCACACTGTGAACATCTAGCCAGCGTTGAATCGGCAAGAGAAGCTGTGCGGTACATTTTGGGACTGCCAAAACTTCCACAGCTAACAATGGCGGTTGGGATGTGGACATGGTGGTCGGAGCGAAATAAAATCAGAGGAGGCAAACGAAGACCAGACTATGTCATAGTCAAGCTGATAGAATGCTACACGGGGGGCTTGTACAACAGAACGCCAAGGAAGCCAGGACGGTGACCAGAACTGTCCAAAAGTGGCAGCGACCGGCACAAATTTTTTTGAAGATCAACTGCGATGCATCTTTCCGCAGGGAGACAGGGGACGGCGGTTGGAGGTTCATAATCCGGGATGAGGACGGTGATATGATCTCGGCTGGTCGGGGTCGACTTTCCCACATTTTGGACCCCTTCCAAGCTGAAGTAGTGGCATGTCTAAAGGGCTACAAGCGGCGATTGACTTGGGCATATCCAGAGTTCATCTAAAAACTGATGCCGTGCAAGTTCAGCAAGCAGTGGAGTCTCAGAGATGGGACCTCTCCATGGCCGGAGGGTTGATTAGGGAGATCCAAGAGCTTGTGAGTCTGAACTGTGGGGAGTTTAAAATCAGGGCTGTCCATCGTTCTTGTAATAGAGTGGCACATGATCTAGCTGCTCTTGGGTGTGTGTGTTCGGTGGACGATGACCCTATCATGGCTCATCCTCCAGATTGTATCTCGAACATTGTTGCTGCCGAGCGTGCAGACAGAGTAATGGAATTGCATTTCCGTTTCAAAAAAAAAAAAAATATCAGTACATCACATAGGCCCAGTTTGAATCCTTTTACTTTTAGCTTTGTGTTACCCTGAGAAAACCAGCTAATATTTACTCCTTCCATTTTAAATTGTAAGTTGGATTTCTAGATACATAGATTTTTTTTTCTAAATACATAGCTTTTATCATGTATAAAAAAACAGTATACCTATAAAGGCCAGAACAATTTATAATTTGAAACAGAGAGAATAATTGTTAGCTACTCCCTCTGTTCCAAAATAAAGACGTTTTGATTTTTCGAATACATATCTTTTATTATACACTTAGATATACAATATATTTAGATACATAGTAAAACGAGTGTATCTAGAAAAAAGCAAAACATCTTATAATTTAGAACTGAGTGAGTAGGTAAAACATTAACTAGGATACAAACAGGACCTTAGCTAACTTTTAGCAGATAGCAACTAATTGTTAGCTCCAAGGATCCAAACGGGCCCATACTATAACGAAATCCAAAGGCTACCATGTCCCGTTCAGAATGTGAGTAAGCGAGCTAAATAGTCACACGATTTGACCTTCAAGTTTCATTCGATTTAAATAGCATAAGTCAGTCAAAATCTTCTGAGCCTGAAATTGCTGAAAACATAACAACTACAGTTAGCATTTCTTGGCAAACTAATAGCAGAGTTTTGCATAGGTTTCTCTCCCAGACATGGGGATAAAAGGCCTAACAAACAGAGGGTAAAAACAGCAAAAGGAATTCGCCCTTCAGGCTAGGGCTGCTGATATCCCCACTAAGCTGGGCCAACCGGGCATGGTATGGACAACCCACTGCGGGTTGCCAAACAAAACAGTTATCTACCTGAAAGAAACCACAGAATACTTGGTCGAGTTTCAAAGAGTTCTACTTGGGGGGCAATAAGTAAAACAGTTAATCTTAACTACTGCTTGGCTAAGATAAGATGTTCGCTAAAAGAATTCTGTAGATGTGCAGTCTCAAACCAATCTGCCTTTGCATCATTTAGAAAACTGCTTTAAATTCAAAATACTCTTAATTACCATAGCACATAAACACAGACGATATATTATAGAACAAACCAAGGCAAGCGACTTTCCAAAACACAGTTTTCAAGAGCAGGTTCACGGTTAAACTAGATAACAGGATGCTAACTCCCCAATGAAGTCACTGTTTTGTTCTTTCTCAGTGAAAAATAACGACAAGTGGCCTTCTGCATTAATATGGATACTCAGCAAAAATGAACATGAGTAACTTTAAATCATCAAGCCCTTGCTACGTTGAGTGCCCAAGTCAATGATTTCTATTCCATGCTATCGCGAAGATTATCTAGAACAAGTTCTGCATCTGTTTCAAAGATTAAGTGATAGAGGAAAGATAAGAACTTGTATTTACTATTTAGCATAGAGTCTGCTGTGAGATTAACCCATTTCTTATGGGTAAATACACTGTTGAAATGGTACTAACACAAAGGGCAGTAGGATGTATTGTTCTTGAGGCCCTTTCGATTCAAGACAATATCTCATCCAACTAATAGACAAATCACAACTAATCTTTTGTGACATGTCATCATTGGATGTATTGTTCTTGAGGCCCTTTCGATTCAAGACAATATCTCATCCAACTAATAGACAAATCAAAACTAATCTTTTGTGACATGTCATCATTGAATCCTATCTTCTGTAGGAGCGAACTTAAACTATGACATATCAAGCAACAATTTGAGAACTAATATGTATCTGATAATGGATCATCCACTTCACATGTAGACATATATGACCTCTACACAATAATCACACGATATATCATGACAAAAGTGGTGCGAATATTGTTAACAGAATCAATGGGAAATGGAATATATCTCATTAGTTAACATAGGCAACTCTAAGCAGGCTATTAAAAAAAATCAGAGGTACCAAAGTATCAACTTCACACAGCAGAACAATGTAATGATCATTACTGAATCAACAAGTTATCATAACTAAGACTAGTTCTTTTGTAGCCAAGAAAGTTATTTCCAAACTCAGAAAGCAGAACATAATTCACCTACTTGATCTCAGCAACATTTGGTGTCACCATGCCAGGAAGAGACCAAATGTGGCATGGTAAGCATTGCCAGTCCAACCACACCTCTGTGAAGCATTATTTCCATCACCAGAAAACTCTGCCAGTTTGTTTGCTAAGGCAAAGGGCATGCAACTCCATCTAATGGAGATACAAACTTGCCCTGTCCGACACTAAGTCGCTAGGTAACTACAGGTACAAGGTAGACTACAAGTCTACAGCTACAACATGACATAACAGGGGATGTAACAGTTAAAATAAAATGAACACTTGAACAGCAAGGGCCAGTCCCTTAGACATCTGTTTTGGCCTGGCTAATCATACAATACTTTTCTAGCCCAGCAAACCATAACAACAGTTAAATCATCCGCCCAAGATTGTCCACCCTCAAGAAGGGCAGGTTGTGCAAATTCCCCAATATATCCTCTGTTGCATCAACATCAATATGGAAGTTGCCCAATTCTTCAACTCCTCCAGCACCGCTAACATTAACCCTTCCAGTGCCATCTGTAGCCTGCGCCGCCTCATTTATGTTAATTCCCCTCACCTCCTCGGCCCTTCCATCTCCACCGTCCTCATCCCCAGCCCAGCCTTCCTGCCCGAGCATCTCAGAATCAATGCCACTCTCCACACCACCAGCAAGACGTCTACTGGGCCCTGCCCCAACCTTCTTGCGGGCCGTCGTCTTCTTGATCCTGCCTCTAGAGGAGCCACCTCGAGCACTGTCATTCTGTGGCTGCCTACCACCACGGCTCCCGTGGCTCCTACCACCACCACCACCTTGGCCACTGGGAGCCGTGTTCCAGGGGAACACCTTGTAGAATGGCTTCCAGTTTGCGCCCAGGTCGGCCGCGTTGGGAAATCCGAGCGGGAAGAAGCCCCAGGCGCAGTGGTACATTTCAGTGCCCGGCACGACGGTGGGTGGGGTCGGGATCTCAGAAGCCACGAATCCGCGGCGGCAGCCCTCGTTGGGGCACCTGAGGGCGCGCCCGATCAGGTCGCGCGGGTACTGGTGCACGTAGCAGCAGAAGGGGCACGCCGTCCAGAACTCCCGCGGGTCGGGGGCGGGAGCGGCCGCGGCCGCGTCCGCGGCGGCATACTGGGAGAAGGAAGGGGTACCAGTGGCGGGATTGGCGGACGGCGGGGCCCGGCGAGACGGATCGGAGAGGATGGCGTAGGCGTCGTTGACGAGGCGGAGCGCCATCTCGGCGCCCGGGTGCGGGTTGCGTTGCCCGAGGAGGAGCGCGAGGCGTCGGAAGGCGCGGGAGACGGCGGCCTGGTCGGGGATGGCCCCGGGCGGCAGCTGGAGGATGGCGAGCGGGTCCGGGTGGCCCGAGGGGCCCATGAACTGGGAGGCGAGGAGGACGTCGGCGACGGCGAGGAGCTCGTCGGCGCCGGGGAGGAGCGGGTCCGCCTCCACCGCCCGCTCCGCGAAGC